GGTATTGAACTTTTGTGATATTGTCTGCCCCGTTGTCCAGTGCTTCTTGAGTTTCAATTTCATCTTGGCGACCAGCAAGTGATCTGATGCTATATCAGCTCCTCTCCTGGTTCTCACGTCTTCCATCGTCCTCCTGAACTTTTTGTTGATGCAGATATGGTCGATTTGATTTTGTGTAGTGTGATCCGGTGAAGTCCATGTGGTTTTGTGAATGCGTTTATGTGGGAATATGGTGCCGCCTATGACCAGTTTATTGAAGGCACATAGGTTTACAAATCTCTCACCATTTTCGTTCCTTTCTCCCAGTCTGTGTCGTCCCATGATGTCTTCATATCCAGTGTTGTCCGTTCCAACTTTGGCATTTAAATCTCCCATCAGAATGGTCAGGTCCTTTGTTGGGCACTTCTCGATGACTGACTGCAGCCTATTGTAGAATTGATCTTTGGCGTCTTCATTGTGGTCGTTGGTAGGCGCATAGCATTGTATGACGTTCATTGTAATGCCCTCTTTCTTTGTTTTGAATGAGGCTTTGATGATTCCTGGTCCATGAGATTCCCATCCTATAAGTGCATTTTGTGCTTGTTTGGATAGCATCAATGCAACTCCTTGTGTATGTGGGGCATTTTCTTCTTCATGGCCGGAGTATAACAGGAGCTCTCCTGAAGTTAGTCGTTGTTATCCAACTTGTGTCCAATGTGTCTCACTGATCCCAAGCACCTCTAGGTTGTATCTTCTCATTTCTGCAGCGATTTGGAAGGCTCTCCCGGTGTCCCACATTGTACGAACATTCCATGTACCTAAATAAATGGTTGCTCTGGTTGTCAGAAGGGGCATCGGCCTCGTAACTTCCGATGGAACTCGGCTTTCACCATGAAGCGTCATAATTGTTCTAAATGAAGACCTTTCAACTTTCAGGGCAGAGTTTAAATGGTTTGAATAATTTTTCTGGTTGTAGTTTTTTTAGCGAGTTAGTTTTCTACGAGATGGGGTCGCTAACCACATGCCCAACCCTCCTCCTTAGGACCGGCAGTAGCCCCCGGAGGGACTCCAGGCGGAGTTGACCGGTTGGCTGCTGGGATAAATGTTCCGAATTTAGAAAGAGAGTTAATTCTTTTGATGGAGTTTTGTTCTCTGAGCTGGATGGTTTGACCTGAGTCAGGTCAATCAGCAACCAACAAGCATATTGAAATCAATCCAATTTACCAACCAATCAGGAAAATCATGCACAAATGTAGGAACAAAAATCAAACCAATGGGAGACACAACCAAAACAAAGAAGTAAACAATGACAAATTAAAGGTCAATAAGAACCAATCAACATCGAGGTGCACAGAAGAAGTTGTGAAACACATATGGAGAAATTCGAACACTTCACTTCTATCTGAAGTTTGTGCTGATGATGTCGTTCAGAAGAACGATGAAAGCTCCACGACCAAACCATCCAGTTCAGAGAACAAAACTCCATCAAAACCATCCATTTGAACTACATATCTTCTCCACCATCTCTAGAGAATTATTTGAGAAACCAAAAGTTCATTCCAAGAAATTGAAACAGCATGCATTAACTATGAAGCAGCAAGTGGGCTTGATTTCCAGTCAGTGACATTTTCCACCACTTTGCTTAGTCGTCTTGACACATCCAGTTTGTTTGTAAACGTACTATTTATGTCGCAGCAAGTAATAGCAAACTTTTCAATTCCGATCCCATTAATTTTAGTGACTTTCATTACTTTATTTATTTAAACAAATAAACATCGGTACGAGTAGGCACCATATATATGCTCCGCACTTCGTCATTTGATTTGTGTGAGGGCAGGAATATTCCCTGGGTGCCCAAACTGGAGCAGGTGGTTTCCTCAGGGGGCCACACCCCAAGAATTTGACGTAAAGGTTTAGTCCACTAAGTCGTGGAGCAACTTTAGGAGGAGCAATCCCATGGTAGCCAATGACCGACAATAGGTTTATACGCCATTTGTTCTCTCGGGATCCTGGAGCTCAAGTGCCACGCTCGTTTGGTATCAGGGTTTTCCAACTCACCTAGTTGAGTCCTGCTTGTCCACCGACCCCGGTCGGGCTCCGGACATTCGATTTTTGTCCTCTCAATTTCGTGAACTACACCCCAACGAGAGAAGGCAGTGGCTCTATACGCGTGGCATTGTGGGAGCATTTCATGAAGGGCAGCGGACTCCCCCCCAACTTCGACCGCACCAAGGCATTTACACTAAAGATGACACAGGTATTTGAAGTTTGACAATGCTTTAACCAGTAACACCATCTATTATGAATCTTACTCAAGTTGTGAAATCAAAAGTCGGAAGCGAAGAGGTTCGAAGATATATTTGATATGCTATCAATGTATCGAGACTCGACTGATCTCGACTGGCTAGCAATTTCAGGAGATAATATTCACGGCGTTCCCACTCGTGATCTGATGTGGATGCACCACCGAAAGCCTTCAGCTAGGTGAGTCCATTAAGACCAATGTGGTCAGTATCCAATGCCGAAGACTTACAGAGCTATTGATTTTAGGGATTCATTTACCGCTACAATACCATCAAGTGATTTGTATCATATTCAAAAACGACTGTATCTGTCCAACGGTGTTTTCCACAACTTTATTGTTGACATTGGTAGCATCAAATCTAATAATTCAGTTAGAATGTTGACAACTTACTAGCCACGGAACTGAAGTGTGGATAAATACGCACGACTCCAAAGTGTTGGGATATTCAGGAAAATATCCCAGAAATTATTCTATTAAGTCTAATGCTATTCTTAGACTTGGAGATGGTATTATTTACTTATTGGTCAGTACTTATTTCACGTGTCATTTTCCTACTGGTTAATATTGTACAATGTTATTTTCTATTTTATCGTACGATGTGGTCTGCTTGACTGGTATATAAACAAAGTATGTTTGAAATATAATGATTCATATAACTCAGAGGCTGTGACTTGTGTTCTGGACTCAACTGACTGGGTTAGACAGGGTAAGCGGGACCAATCAGAACCCTAGGCCGTTCTACGTGTTTGTGCGTCTTTGGTCCGATCAATAATTCGCTGTCCTCTAATCAGCATTATTTTCCACAGGCATAACACAAAGTCCCTTCATTCTCATGTGCAAGCAAGAAATTTCAAATTTTTGGAAACAAACGTCAATTTCATTGCTGCTGCAATATCCGAAGACCCGGAGAGTAGAGTAGATAAAGTCGTTCAGTGGGGAATTGCCAGATCGTACGCAAAAGGAACGATGATGTAACTGCCTGAGCAGAAATGTCCTTGTCCAGGAACTGGTTTTCCACAATATATAGGTCTGCTAAAACAGGTCAATAAACCCGTGTTTCACATACGAGCCAGTCAAAACAACCGAATACGTTTTAAAGAATCAGGTGCGTCTGTTCCAATTTTAGTTGTTAATTCTAATACTAATGAGTACATTCTAGATCACATGGAGTCTATACCCAATACATAGCCGGACAGACACATGATGGGGCTAAGGAAAAGTATAATCGATTACAGATATTTGGATGCCTATTCAAGATGTGGTATCTGTACGACCTAATGATCCCTTTGTACTTGATTGCCCACCGGTTACGAATTCCAAATATAATAGATTCACTTTTGATCATCAGGATCTACTTGCTTTAAATTTCACTATTTCGAGAATTCTCAGTTAGTACATTAATTCGAATACTTCTAATAATCATAGGTACACCAAGTGAGATCTTGTGCAGTCAATCATATAGAAAAATTATCTAATCATAAGATGTTCATCATATCATTTTTTTCTCCTTTAGGTTTATCTTCTCAAGTAATGATCTTAGTAGCTATTCTGAACCTCGCCAAGTAAATTTCCGCTTTGAATGGATGTCGAGTTGAAATTGATTGACTTAAATGTGTCGGATTTTGGTATATGGTTATATTTCGATTTCCGTAAGAATTTTGGTTAACTAAATAGTCGGGGAGACGTGGTTCACTATGCTCATCTTCCTTTCCAGAAGTGAACTTGATGTGATCTGAGAATGTGTTCATTAATTAGGAGAAATTTCTGGCGAGAATCTACATATTTGAGTTTGATCTAACGGTACCGACATAGGTAAGCGATTTCATACGAGATATAAATAGACTAACCATAAACGGAGATCCCATGGTCTTTCCGTTTGTTTCATCAGGGAAATTCCCTTTGATGGTGGAACGCATTGAACTCAAGCATAATTTGATTGCTTTCATGATTAAGCTAATGCTTAGTTAACATCTACTAGATAAAGTGTTATGATGTATGTATCTCTTTGTCCAGAAATATCTTGTATATCGGTTGTAGGATTGGAGTGATCTTTGGAGTACTGAGAGGTTTTCTAAGTAAAATTAGGTTTAATTTTTCTTCTAACAGAATGATTTGATATGTACTAAGAGTTCTGTGTGAAGGATTATGAACCATCCTTAGGTCATTAGAAGTAGTTTTTGTTGGTGATGTTTTCTGTTTTTATGCTCTCTTTGAGATTTTCTAATTTCTTGATTTGTCTACGCTTGGAATCGGTTATATTTGAGGGAATTCATTTAAACCCTAAATACATTATTTCACATCTCTTTTTGTATTTGATCTATCGTGATGCAGTGTTAGATTTTTATGTCGTTTTAACAAGTTCACTTAATTTTAAGTTTTCCAGGTTGTAAATTAACACTATCCCTAACATTTCCTTATTATCGTTAAATAAAGTTTATTAAAATTTTCCATTTAAAAATAGCTGTCACACATAATGGATTAAAATCCGAGACAAAAGGTCGACAGAATTCTGTTTCGATAAAGTGAAAGTTTAAACTTTTCTTTTTATCCACCAAATGAACAAAAATACTCGATTAGTACAATGCGTTTTATGCTCAATTGGTGAGTGATTCAGAATCTAGGTTATGTGTATTCTGAATGAATTAAAAATTGTACCTTAGTTCGTACTGAACATTACGATCTAGGTTATTATTAAGCGACAAGTCAATGAACAAATGGGCAACAAAGGTAAGATAATTGTAATTTATCTGAATACAAGCTATTGTTATAGCGTCAAGTTAATTTTTTAAAAAAACAGCCGGAAATTATGGCAGAAAATCAGGGCTTAAACGAATTAATGTATTCAGCAAATGTTTATTTCATGATCTGTTAGCCGTTATCAGTTGATTGTAGCACCACAAGGTAGATTAAATAGTAATTATTGATACCATATATTCATTATTAATAATTAATGCATAAAAATTTACTTATCAAATTCAATACCAAAACCTAATTATGAAATGATTGTCCTGCAGAGCTGTTATTAAGTATATCATATTTAAAGTGTAATAGTATAAAGGATTCTTTAACGATAATAGTCATTACTCTGAAATCAAATGGTATTTGTTTAATTGGTTTTTATCTTTTTGTTTTTCTTCTTCGATGAATTGACTAACTCCAGTTTGCGAAACATATACACTAATAAATCAATTTATGGTAAAAAAAAAACTTAACATTCCGTCCAATTACCATTTGAATATGAAAAAAAATCCATTATAAATTCAACTGCTTAATAAACAATGAGTCATCATATGTATAAGCCATATGTACCAGTAGATTGCTCATTTCTTTTTTAGAAAGTAAGCAGATTATTTAGTGCAGGGAAGCAAAGAAAGAGAAATCGATTAAAATTGATTATATTTTACACATTGAAGTATTCACTAATGTGCTAATTTATTGTTTTGAATGAAAATAAACATTTCGAAAGTGATTTAACAAAATCATCAATGCTTAGCTTAGTTAGTAGTGACATAATGAATATAAAACAAAACAACAAACAAATAATTGAGTAGATGCATAATTTTCAAAGGAATAAAGCTGGATTATATTTAAAAACCATCATCTGTTTCAATTGCCCCACGCTCTAATTCACATGGCCTATGAAATTCTTGACCGCGTTCATGAAACCATAGATTCATTACCCATTTCGAGCCAGCTAAAACTGGGCAAGCAGCGTGTCTAGTTCGTAGGTCACCTTCTCCACTTGGCAAAAGATTAAACCAGAAACCAGCAGCTCCTTTTTTAGGGACTACACGTGTACCGATACGGTTAAATACAGTGGCTCCTCCTGCTTGTACATCAGATAACTAGAAGTATAAAAAGAGCTGACGTTTGAATCATCAACATTCAGAATTTCATGTTGAGTATGTAACATAAGCCTTGACCAATTATTTAGAAATCGTGAAATTTTTAAATGGAAAAGAAAGAAACTAGGAAGAATTTTCACGTAATTATAAACTGATCGGAAAATTGTTCTTCATCCCAGTGACAGTTAGATCTCAGAATGAGTTCTTATACAGCTCTTTTTTGTTTTGGCTGGACATACACTTCTATATCATCATAACAGATATGATTATCACTGAAAATTCACATGGAAGTAAATAATAACTAAAGAGTAGAAATCACCTTCACTTACTCAGTGGGAGACTTTGATAAATTGATAAGTTTGATGTGATTGTGTGTTACACCAAAGTATAGATGGACTATAGAAGATATCGACACACAAAGGCAATAAGTGAACCAATAGACACTGATAAAAGAGATAATGATGAAGTGGAATAAGTTATTATTAAAGAACGTTGGTTTAAGTAAATGGGATGCTAGCAGGTTGCAAACAGCCATTCAGTGCTTCAAAACTGTGAAATTGTGTGGTTGTTTATGAATTTTAATTTATCCATCCCAAATAGACATTAAGAAATGTACATTTAATATGATGGGGATCTTTAAACGATTAAAACGTACATTTACAAAGAAATAGTTTTTTTTTTTTAAACTCCGTACACACTTTGCATACTACAATGCATAGGTGTTAACTTTAACGTTAGAACGATGAAGTACTTAACTTTCGAATAATAGGTCGGAGTTTCAACATGTGCTTCACCTACCTTAGGTTGGAGAGACGGATAATATGATTAACCGTTACACAAATAATTTGGACCTGTGCTTAACGGATAGGTCACAAAAATGAGCAACTGAGAAATAAACGAAATCGAATTAGACTAATAGTTAGTGGAATCGGTGCCAAGTATCAAGTACTGTTTGCGTTACATGAAGCTTGAAAACATAGGTATTATCTCGAAATTTATAGTTTATGAAGAAATGATCAGTGTATTCTAGTATAACATATGGTATAATTTTTAATTTCATAAGACTACGTCCTATAATTTTGTTTGACAACTGTTGATCACAGTACTGTGATGACGACAAGTTGGTATTTTGTCAAAAGCTAACAATCAAAAATCATGTCCATAAATAACATGATAGGATCAGTTTCTACAGCGAACTCCATTGACGACATGTTGGTTTTTTCTTCAATGGAAATCATGTACTGAAGTCGATATAATTTCCAGATGCACCAAAGTGAAAGTCATTCACTTCATCTTTTACTTACATAACCTAAATCTTACACTCAGAAAATTGTTCTTAATGTGAACTAAGCGCAGTCTGCGATAAATAAGAAAGATTCTCATTTTTACGCAATAAGATTATAGAACCTAAAAAATCATAACGTGGTATTTTTCACTGATTCACAGTTCCTCTAAATAATCTTAGCAAGATGATCTTATTGTAGTGGTGTACATATTTGTACATCTTACATCACTCAATGGACTAGAATGCAAATGTTCTTTTACAGTAGACAAGGAGTATTTATTTGCTACTGATTATTTTTCTAAAAAATCAGTAAACTTGTTGAGGTATGAAACTAAGCTTTGAATTAGAAGTAATTATGGTGTTGACAGATGGAAACTAAACAAAGATATTCACGGTTACAATAATTATAAATTATAAATTCAGGGTAAAATTGCTTGGAATATGAAAATGAAGATACAGTAAGGTGAAAGAAGTAGACCTGATTTTGATGAGTTTAGCTTAAAAACTATTCACACAGTATATTCAAATAAATAGACATTGAAGAACTATGAACACTGCCAGTCCCAAACATGGGAATCCCATTTAATTGGAACCTATTTCTATCGGTCAATTTGTCTTGCAAAACACTACTTACTTATCTTGTTGTGTTTACGCGAGACATAAAAGCTCTTTCGCAAAGTCTTCTGTTTCCTTACTCGGGTGTAGTAATGATTGTTTTTTATTAGCCATCATTCTATTTAGTTGCATTGGATCTAGTATTGCTTCAGAAGTATTGCCTATTGTCCATATTCAGACCTTAGCCTTTACTAATTCCTGTGCTCAAAAATAATAAGATTTAACGAACGGTCCCCATCTTGCATAAAACTTACCTAATTCCTGTAATCTTTCTATCTATTTAAAGAATCTAGGATCATAGGAGGTACATTAATCATATCAGTAGCTTAGTTGCGCTACAGAATGTGCCGGTTCAATGTGACTCTCACATTAGATACTGTTCCTCTCATCCTTGTCTTAGGAATGAAGATAGTTATACTTGGCGTAACCGAATCCACTAAGTTTTCCCCATCCATCTACGTTCCTAGTACTATGTTGAAAACATGCAGTAAATTGACAGAAATCGAAAAGATTCAGTTAACGTAAAACCTAAGAGCAGTAAAATTCCCAATATTTGTTTTCATTATTATAATCATTATTATTTCTTGTCAAGTCTTTCTTGTATAACTTCTTTCTTATGTAGCTAACGTGTATAACGGTTTCAGTCTACACACTAACTTCAGTTCTTCAGTTGAACTGTCCTGACCTCCATACTCAAATTGGCTCTGGATAATCGCAAGCCAGTTAAAATATAAAAAACCGAAATTATTTCAGGAGTTTAATAAAAACTATAATCCTGGCTGTTCAATTCCGACTGAAAGTAAAAATGTAAAGTTACCTGTGGAACTAACTAATAAATAATAGCACTTACATAAAAAATAATTGTAGCTATTCTGTTCCCATTTTTAACTTCGAATGCGTCCTTTTCTCTTTTCTGCAAAAAAATTAGCAAATTAGTAAACATACTATGCACATACTTCTAACAGTTTTCGTCAAGATATAATATATCGTATTCATTTATCATCGGTAAACAAAGAGGGTATTCTGCTAGCTTAATAAATTCCTTTATATGTTTATTGTAATAAGGTAAAAAGATTATGATGACTGTAGAATACCTTAGAATGAAATCCTAGATATCTTCAATTTCTAGTCCATTTATATTATTAGCTTAACAAAGACCAAACTTTTCTAATTTTTTTGTAATATGTTGCTTTACTTCTGAAGATTCTTTTCCTTTCTACAAAGAGATGATATTTTTAAATCATCTAACTGATCAGCTAATAGTTAATTAATTTATTTTTGTGAATTTTAAAGATGGCTTTGATACAAAAAAATTGGAATTCACTATGTATTAATACATCCGATTCTGATCGAAATCTATTGATTATGGAAATGTTAAAATTTAGGGATGATAGTGAATTCCATTTGTTATTATATGTTGGAACATGTTAATATGGGATTTCATGACAACTACTCTATTTTTCAGTGAGAAAACAAGCTTTGTGGGGGTAAGTGGCAGTCACGCACTCCGTTACGGTAAGTAAAAGAACAACATCAAAAAATCAATCAATGGAGAGACCAAATTTAAATACTGAATTCAAAAGAAACGATAATAAAAGTCCCAAAGAATGAAGAGTCACAGAACATGACGAAGCAGGTATCTAAAACTACTTACTTCTTAACGGTCTTTCTACCTGATATAACGCCAGTATTACGAAGTTCATAATTTAGAACTTGATTGCATTCGTCAAGAATGACCCAATACATTTGATTCAATACAAGTGATTTACAAGGAGGCAGACAAGCAGAACGTAATACAACAAGACTCAACTATATTATAAACCTACTGTTTATGTTTCAGGTATTCAGTTTAGCCAATGACATTAAGTGTACGACCATTTGACTTACGGAAATATAATCCAACCTATAAGAGTCTATTAGGTCCACGTATAGACTTGTCATCAGAATCGTTACTTGTTCAATTCATCATTATGATCACCATAAATTATCTACACTAAAAGTCAATTTACAATTGGAATAGCTGACTAAAGCTAGTAAATTCGTAAACAGTTAGGATTGCTTAGATATTGAGACCACGATTACTATGGTAACTAGAAGTAAATTGTTGACCTTGACATACAATTTTAATGCGAAACCCATCAACATAGCAGAAATTTAACAGGGGGAGCTAAAATTCCATTGCTGTAACTGGAAACTTAAAAAGCTAATGTCTAGAGTCTGCACAAAATTGAAAATATTTAGGAACTTACTCGACCGAAATCAAAATGTGGAGCATAATGTCCACCCAACCCATAATTACCGACTTGTAGATCTTCAGCAGTCTCAAGGGACAAACCTGTAACAGCTCGTATACGCTGACTTATCTGGTCAGTAATTTCAGTCATAGAATGAGGAAGCCAAGCGCTAAATGAAAATGGACCACATGTTAGTGAAGTTGGTGATAAAAAATATTGTTCAAATGATGACATGATTGTTGACTAAATGAGTACTGTAACATAATTTGTGTTACATACATAAAGATAAAGCTACTATGATGATCAACTAATAAAATAAGTCTAAAGTGATTCAATATCTCATGTTTCACATCCAGAACAAACGGACAACTAGATCGGAAACCCTTTACGAGTGCTTAGAAAACGCAGTTCTCCGAATAATTGAACTGGTGCACTTTCAAGTAATTTTCTATATGATTTTCAAAAAAGTATATCGTGCATAAGTGCAATAGATCTGAATAAATTGCTATGATGTTAACCTTGTATTATAATTTGAGACTGATCTAGATATCTTAACAGTGTGTTTCGTCGGCCACACAATTATCTATAATTCATTTTGATAAAAAAATATGTTAACCATACGACAGAAAAAATACATGTATTCAAAAGACAAGTAAACTTGCTAATGCTTTACTAGAGTAAGAATGTAACGTATCTCGGTCAAACCGACAACTGTTTATGAACCAGAAGAGTTCAACAAAACTACCGTTTTTTCCTACACCCTTCAACAGTGTGATAATTTCAGTTCTTAATAAATTATGAAGAAATCGATGTTTGATTTAGCCGAATAGTCATAATCATAGATCAAGAGTGTTTTAAAAATATCAACCGCTTCGTAAATAAATAAGTCACAGTCTATACATCATGGTGTTTATATTTAAGCGATGTTAGGGTCCTAGATATGAAGATTATAAGTCGAAAAAATAGCATATAGAAGGTTCAAAAACCGTAGCGTAAATCTGATTGTCATGTTTAATTTCAAGTTGATCACGGGCTTTGAAGAGAAATCAAGCTGCCAATGTAAGTTAGTAGTGCAAATATTCAAATCTGTTGGTATCAAGAGCGAATTTTGAGAAAAATTATGGGCTTTGAATTCCGGCCACTAAATTTTCGTTTTAATGAAAAACGATAAATATTGATTGATGTTATCAAAAATAAAACGGTGATGCAATGTCTGTACGATTATTCAATAATTTCCCTAACTAGTACAAAAACCATTTGATTATCACGATAGAGGTGGTAAAACAGAGTCTGTATTAGAAATATATTTAGTTACCACAAAGTGTAGTGATGAATAAATTTCTTTAATTATCATCTCGGATTTGTTTTTAATCTATAGGAAATGATTCGCTCTTGAGATAAATATTCGAAGTGTATGATTTGCCTCTAAAATTGAACATTCTGAAATATGAATAGTTTTATTTAATCTACTGATTATTATAACAGTTATGTACTGTAAAATAGGAAATAAAAACCCACATCTATTTAAAATGCCGAAATATTTAACAGATTTGTGTGGTTTAAAAATAATTCACCTTTTACTGGTTCTATAAAATGCTACCTCTAAGTTGCCAGTTACTGGATTTTTAACCGTCGCCCTACGAAGCTGAAAAAATTTAAAGTAAAAGAAAATGATATCACTTACGTAAAAAAAGAAATGTGTAAATGTGGTGTTTGAATGAACTGATGATTCCTTTGTACTTGTTGAATGCTTGATTTCGAATTCCAAATACGGCACATTCGTTCGTGTTTGTCTAGTACTTCGTTATTTAATTGCGTTATTTCTGGGATTCTTAGTTTATACTGTAATTCAAATACTCCTAATTATCACAGTAAAATGTGGTATAATCGTCGGGTAAGACATTTCAGAGAATTCCTTAGTCATAAAATATGACCAGAAATCGAATACAACTTCATGTATGTTGACGAAAAGGTTACCGAGTAATATCGATACTTCACTTACATAAAGCGATTCGTCACAAAATCATTCAGTCTAAGATTTAAAAAAAGAAAGCAGTGGATGCTATACGGATACAGTGTTTGGAGCGTGGGACCCTTATTAACACAAGAGAGACATTCGAATAATTATTTACTCTTATAACACTGTTATTTGTCCCATGACCATTTAATTGATATCGGTGATGCGAAGTAACTCTTCTTAATCTATGGATTTATAGAATTTAATTGTGAATCTTGTCATATATATATTCAAGATACTTCGGTCTAAATAGATGCATATAACTATCTGTATATAAAGAACTGTATTTGTTAACACTTCGTAATATATTAGCTACTAGTTTCATCTTCACAAACTGGTGGAACGACTATCCCTCTCTGAGTTAATAAAAAAGTAGAGCAGTGGGTTGCTTAAAATATGTGCAAGTTATAGCTTACAATAATGGTCATTTCGGATCATAGTTACGGAAACGTCAAAAATAATTCGTAAGCAGATAAGTACGAAAATGTGAATAAAACTTTGAGAGGTTTTCCTTAAACGAAAAAACAAGACCGGTACAGCAGTATTACATCAAGTTCAGTGTAGCCCCTAAAGTGTAACCTCTGTTGACATCAGTTTTCATAGTTGAGACACTGAGTGAAGACAGGGGAAATATCGAAAAAATAGAAACTTATATTCAGTCGACAGAAAAATATCTATAGTTTATCTGGAAAGCTATCAGTGACCTAGGTAATCCAGAAATATTAATCCAACGTTGAAACATAAGTCTGTTGTAAATATACTACGATAAAACTAAGTGATAACTCATTCTTCTGAAGTGCAAAATAATCTGTTTCAAATAATTTATAGAACACTGAGTTAAAACGTTTAAACACTGATGAACTAAAAACACTCGATCCAATATTCACAGCACAGTAATCTATCTTTGCAATTTTCATTTACGTAGTTATAAGTTCCATACATACTCTAAAAAAATAGTTTTAGACTTCTAATAACGAGTGTTTCAATATACTGAACGAACCATTTTTCAGCTATTAATTTGCATCAACTGTACTTACATTCTAGTTTCTAGTGTAAAAAAAAGCTAAGAATATAATTATGAAATCGAACTAACTCTTGGTGTAGCCAGTTCTTTGATTTTTTCAATCTCCGATGGGAAAATCAAATCGTACCACATTACAATACGTGGATCAGGGTTTAAAGTTTCCTCCTTAATTGGACCAATTCTAAAAAACGCATGAGGAGTATAATATTGACATGTTAGGTGACGTGATGGGACTGTAGGTAAGGGATTTTCATTACGACATAATGATTCGTATAGCTCAGTTTCTTGATCGTGCTTTGATGTAGCTGGAATATGAAAAAGAAAGAAAAATTAACTCGAAGAAAGAAACTGTGTGACCATTATTCACTAAGGCAAATCATATCTTATTGGCATAGATTGAAATCATCAGGTTAGTGATCGAAAAAAGCCATCCATAAACTTTACCCTTATGCTTTCGATTGAACTAGTATCATAACGTTAATTTTTAATCCTCGCTGAGCTTTCTTATGATTATCGGAAACAATCCTTCTTAAAATCATCGAGTATGTCCTAGTGTCATTTAAATGACGTTAAACAATATTCAACTATAATTCAACACAATGTTACACAGTTCAAAATTGATAATTATGTCAAACGTTTATGTAGATGATGTGTCTAAAGCAGTTGAGAAAGAGATTGATACAATTATGAGGTATAGTTTTAGAATTTGTGATAACACATTTGAATAAAAAGATACTAACCACTACATAGGTTTTCTAGATTAATTATTTACGTGAACTAAACATAACTAATATTACAGCCCAAAAGTACAGAGACCTATTAGCTTACAGAACGAAAATTGTTTCCTTTTTTCGAAATGGAAGTACTGACAAATCTGCACAATATCACAATCAAATTTCCTGGAATCTGTATTGCACATTCACCGTTGATAAACGAATTAGGGTTTATAATTAAATAACTATTACTTCATTTGAGAAATATTCTTTATTGAATTATCGTTTTGTTCTACCAATTTAAATGCTGTTAAGTGTTAATATATTTGGGCAGATAGACTAATGGTGACACTGGATGTGATCGCTGATTAAGATGTACACAAGATCGTAATACTAAAGATAACTTTTTGAGAGAAACCAAAATGATGAATAAGTGGAGTAATTAAACTACGGATTTGAGATTTTACATATATTCAGAATTGAATATAATCATTTGGAAGAGTTACCTTGAGAACGAGGATTTGGACCTATTCTTCCTTCACCTCTGTCGATTTGTTCTACATAGAAGGCTTCATTATTGATAGCTCTTGTATTCGTCGGTTCTAAAAAGAAGTATACACATAATTATTCATCACAATTCTTAGGAAAGAAAAATATTTCCCTAAATATCAAATCCTTAATCCCCAGGGACATAAAGAACTAGAGAACTGAATAATAGCTAGCTAAATCCTAGTTATCCGGAGAGTACCTGAGTAAAAGACGCTACAAATAACTTACTTGCTTACGCCTCCTACACATCGTGGAGGAGCATAGGCCACTCACCAGCATTCTCCATCCAACTCTGTTCTGGACGATCCTTTCGAGTTGCTATTCATCATTTTCATATCTGCTTCACATTCCAGACACAGTGTGCTTTTTGGTCTTCCTCTTTTTCGTTTCCCTTCAGGATCCCAAGTTAGGGCTTGCCTCGTGATGCAATTTGGTGATTTCCGTAATGAATGTCCTATCCACCTCCAATATATTCTCCTAATTTCTTCTTCAGCTGGAAGCTGATTTGTTCACTCCCACAGTAGGCTATTCCTGATGGTATCCGGCCAATGGATGTTGAGTATCTTGCGTAGACAGTTATTTATAAATACTTGTAACTTCTTGATGATGGTTGTAGTAGTTCTCGAAGTTTCAGTTCCGTACAGTAGGATTGTCCTGATGTTCGTATTGAAGATTTTGACTTTGATATTGGCTGACAGTTGTTTTGAGTTCCATGTGTTCTTCAATTGTATTAATGCGGCCCTTGCTTTGTCAATCCACGCCTTTACTTCTGCATCTGATCGTCCTTGTTCATCGATGATGTTTCCAAGGTACGTGAAGGTTTCTACATCTTCTCCATCCAGTGTGATTAGGTTGGTGTTCTCCATGTTGAATTTGAGGATGTTGCTTCTCCCTCTGTGTATGTTGAGACATACTGCTGAAAAGTTAGCTGCTACACTGGCTGTCTTGACCTGCATTTGCTGGTGTGTATGTGATAGATGGACCAGGTCATCTGCCAAGTCCAAATCGTTTAGTTGCATCCAAGCTGTCCATTGTATTCCATGCTTCTCACCAGATGTTGAGGTCTTGATAATCCGGTTGACCACCAGAATAGTAAGAGAGAGAGTAAGCAATCTTGTCTAACTCCCATACTCACTTGGAATTCAACTGTCAGCTGTCCTCCATGCACGACTTTGGAGTATAGTCCGTCGTATGAAATCCGAATGATGTTGACGATCTTCTCAAAAACACCCTAGTGTCGAACAAGGTTCCATAATGTTCTCCTATCCACGCTTTCAAATGCTTTGTCACAGTCAGTCATGTTGATGTATAGTGACAAGTTCCATTCAATTGACTGCCCAACAATGATCCGTAGTGTCGCGATTTCGTCTGTGAACGACCGATCCTTACGAATCCAATCTTTTGATCTCAAAGCTTAGCGTCTACCGAATTTTTCATGTGGTTCAGCAACACTCTGTTGAAAATGTTTCCTGGAACCGATAGTAGTGTGATGCCTCTGTAGTTTTCACATTTGCCCAGATCTCCTTTCTTTGGAATCTTGATGAGGTGTCCTTCTTTCCAGTCCATCGGCACTTGTTCCTCCTCCCAAATCTTTGTGAATAGAAGGTGAAGCATTTTTGTAGCTACTTCGATGTCTGACTTCAGTGCTTCAGCTGGTATGTTGTCAGGTCCTGCTGCTTTCCCTCTCTTGATTTGTCTGGTGGCCGACCTGATTTCTTAGATTGTTTGTGGAGTAACAACTATAGGAAGGTCTTTGTGTGCTGTTTCGATGTCCGTGGATTCATTGGAGCCGGCCTATTCAGGAGTTCCTCGAAGTATTCTACCCATCTGTTCCGCTGTTGTTGAATTTCAGTGATTGGCTTGCCTTCTTTGTCTTTGACCGGTCTCTCTGATTTATTATATTTCCCTGCTAGTTTCTTCGTTGTATCGTAAAGCTGTTTCATATTTCCTTCTCTAGCAGCTTTTTCCGCCGTCCTTGCTAGTTCTCCCACGTATTTCTGCTTGTCGGCTCTAATGCTCCTCTTCACTTGCTTGTTTGCTTCTGTGTACTCAGCTTGTGCTTTGACCTTCTCTGCTCGTGATCGGCTGTTGTTAATTGCTATCTTCTTGTTCTTCCTTTCTTTGATCTTGCCCAGTGTTTCTATAGAGATCCACTCCTTATGATGATGCTTCTTGCCGCCCAGAACCTCTTGACACGTTGAAGTTAATGCTTCTTTAATACCTTTCCAGTTGTCCTCCATAGTAGTTTATTCTTCCTTCAGTAGATCCTGTAAGGCTTGGAACCTGTTGTTGAGAGCTATCTTGAATTCATTGAGTTTGTCAGTATCTCGAAGGAAGGCTGTACTGAACCTTTGTAATGCTGTTTGTCCAGTCGTTCAGTGCTTATTCAGCTTCAGTTTCATCTTGCAAACCACCAGCTCGTGATCCGAAGCCATGTCGTCTCCTTTCCTCGTTTTCACGTCTTCCATTGTCCTTCTGAATGTTTTAGTGATCCAAATGTGATCGATCTGGTTCGCCTTGGCATGATCCGGTGAGATCCATATAGCTTTGTGTATACGTTTGTGTGGAAATTATGTGCCACCTATAACCATTTTGTTGAAGGCCTACTGGTCTGTAGCTATTCATTCAGTCTTCACGGTCTCCCACATTATCCGGACATTCCACGTAGTTATATCGACTTGACTGTTGTTCTGGTTATCAGAAGGAGCATCAGTCTCGTGACTTCCGAAGAATTTCAGCTTTCACCACGAGGCGTCATAATTCTTCTGAAAGAAAATCTTTTAATTATCGGGACAGAGTTTAAATGGTTTAAATGATATTCTCTGGATTTCTACTCCAGTATATCATTTCATTTGAATGTTCATGAACAGTTTTTGGCTTCAAATTTCTTCCGATGAGTACAGGTGGAGAGCTGTTATTGTTATCTTTTGGAGTTTATTCAGTTGTATATCAAATCTATCTCGGTACATTTTTTTTCTGACACTTGCGGATAAAGTGAAACAAGTTTTTCTTTCGACTATTTAGTTTTCTACATTCCAAGCTTTGCAGTGATCTATCTGATGTCTTGCCTATTTAAACATCCAAGAAGTGGAATCGAGAGTTCAGTTGTGACCCTGTCGCGAACTTAATTGATTGGTTGCAGCTATTTGACTCCTTGAGCATGCTATAGAGGCGTCATAATTTTTTTGAAAGAAGATCTTTGAACACGCAGAACAGAGTTTAAATGGTTAAGTTTGTTAATTCTGATCAGTTTTTTTGCAAGGTAGTTTTTTCGGGATAGGGTTGCTGAACCTATAGGCAACCCTCCTCTTGAATCCGGATTTGTGGCCGGCAGTATTCTTAGGAGATCTACAGTCGGAGTTGCTTTTAATGAGGTAAAACAAAATTTCTGGTAAGCTGTTGTATTCTCTAACACCACTGAAAAAGGTATCAGTGTTATACTGTGGACGTCTTTGGTTCATTTCTAAGATATAAAAGAGTTACTTTTGAACAATAATCATAATTCCATTATGAATATAGAATTTGTTAAACCAATGCTATCAATTCAGCTGAAACGCTAAACTGAGTACCATGACTACAGGAAAATATATCTGTATATTTATTCTGTCCTGTATGTTACTTGAAGTAAATTTTAAGTGAATAAGTCAATCTAGACTTACCCTCTTCGATTAGCAAACGTGTCACGTTCAGTGCTTCAGCATATCTTCCTTGCTAAAAATGATAGTAAAAGTATGTGAATCATTTAACAACCGGGTGTTACTACTAATGAGTTCATAGAATTAAACTAAACAGGAATTAGCTTGAATATGTCTTTTAGTAAATATTTACTACTGAAAGTTACTTTAAGTAGAGAAATATCTGGAATTATTTCAATAAAAAATACACATGGAGATTACCACCTATTACAAATGGAAGCCTTATAACAACAATGAAGATAATTAATTTAAAAACGTTCATGTAATTGTGTTTTTATTTTAGGGCACCAAACAATAAATGTAGTGGGAGAGGGCCGAGCTCCATATGTATCAGAAATTAGTGATCACATGTCAAGATAATTCTATTTTGCCTTAGCTTGAAAGACACGTCATTCATTTTTCACGATAACACTCATTAAGATTTATGTTTACTTTGACATGGTTGTGGTCAATGACATCTCCAAGTAAATAAATCAGGATTGTTATGCAACACTGAAGAACATACTGAGCTTTTAAAGATTCCGTTAAAAAATTTTAATAGTTGAATTCATGAGTCGGTGTAAGCTAGACCGCTGCTCGGGAGTCCCACAATAGGATGAAACGGCCGTCCAGTGCTTCCAGGTTTTCAATGGTGGTCTAGCTTACATCGACCCTTGAATTCAACTATTAAAATTACTACAATCTCCACAGACCCCATTCCGAATAAAAGAAGTTTTACGCACATAACAGCGAAAGTTTTTTTTGTTAAACGATTAAACTTGGACAACATGGAAATTACAAAAATAGTTACAAGAAAATAAAACATCCATCAATACATCGGTTATTATCCGTGACTCTAAATTAGTGATTCCACTATATTCATAAATATTTTGTACACAAAAATTCATTGTTAAAAAATATAAGACAGTTAAACTATCTCACGAAGGTATTTGACATTTCTCATCTTAAAATGACTAGTAATTATTAATGAATTATTACTAATCAAACAGGAATTGTAATATTCAAATGAACAGAAACTGAAAAATGACAAAACTGCGATTTTTATGTCATTAAAATACTAATGAATATGAACGAAAACGGTTTAGGATTATAATACAATCCCGTATCAGAATTCCTATTTATTCGTGGTTTAAACATTTGCTTGATGAAAACGATATTAACTTTCATGATATTCCTCTAGATTGTGAGACAAAGTAAGTTGATGTGTGTCCTGTCATATGAATTCGAAAATCTAACACTTAAATTTCATACGCCAATACTCCCTTAGTCTTCAGATATCAAACGTAAAATTGAAACCAATTAAGTTACACAAATTCAAATAAACAATTATTCAAACTACCTGGACTTTCCAGAATGAGAATTTGTAAGTTGACTCAATTGTTTAGCACTTCAGTAAAAGATGCTAATCATTTTCCAATAACTAGGTGAGTAAAAACAATCAGTTTTTGTGTTTATAAAAGCCTAAAATTCAAGTTGTATAGTGTGATCGTTAAGTAAAACAGTAGAAATACCTTAGAAGTCGAATGATTAAAAACAAGTTTTCGGTATAAAACTTAAACAGGTTAAATGAAGAACTTTCACTTACTCGTCCAAGAGAATAGGCAAGATAGTCTAAAATTTGTCCAACTGTCGGTTCAGTTTCTCCATTTTCTTCAGTTTCGTCACTTGCGATGGTAGTTCCTTGTGCATCAACCTCTTTTTTCTGTTCTAACTCATCAAATAACCGATCATAGGCTACACGAAACCATTCTTCTGATTGTTCAAAATCGCCCTGTGAATAGGCATGTCTACCTACTTCCAAGCATTGAGCAGCTGAAATATTGAGAAAAAGTCCTCGAAGAATTCAATTTTTGCACTCAACAGAAGCCCCATATAGACTTAGAATATTTAACCGCGGTTAAATTGAATAATGTTGAGTAAATTAAATTGTAATTTATAGTCATGACTCTACTTGACACTACATCTATGCGGTTCGAAGCATTATGTGACTGTCCGTTTAGTGGTACCTGCCATCATGTAATTAAATTATATATAACAATTACATGAAATAAATAATAAAACTTGGGAACAAGAGGTAACGTAACGGTAAATCATAAATCCTCCGATATTGTAAATAATTTGTTTAACTGAATCTTTCATAGTAGCGATCGAGATATCAGTAAACGGTAGTAACCGACACTTGTTCGGTTTTTGGCAAATCGGTTTACTTTACAGATCTGTTCCTGACTTCTGATTAACGCTTTAAAAAATAACACTGTAAATTCAAGATGTTTTCGTAAGACCTCTGAAAATCTCTTCAGCATCTTCTTTTGCCTAACCCTACTGACATTCTGAATAATTTACTTGTAAGTGACTAATTTCTATGATCCTAAAAGAGATGATGATGATGATTTTGACAGAGTTACTAAAATATCTGTTAAAGCAAGTTTTCGTCGGAATATCTCTGTTTTAAGCAATAAATATTTACGAAGTTTTCGAGTAAGACTTTTAGTTAACTAGGTGTATGCACGCAACTAACTAATCACAATATCAGATATCACAGGTGTACTCTAACTTAATTAAAATGTTAATTATACTAATAGTGTATGTAAGGTGACTAATAAGCATAAACACGGAGTGATTATACCCTTAAGTCAAGAATTCCTACTTTCAGTGGAAATTGAGCTTCTACCACTTTGTGTAAATCGTTACAGATAACAGTAAATGTAATTCAGTATACAAACTTCCGTTAATATTTTATTTTAACTGTGATCTACGAAAAAATACATAGACAATGCTTATTTTAAAATGCAAATATATTATATTTCTCTAAGTCATGCTTAGTAACACTAAATAGGGTTCAGATAAAGAAAAATGTTAGTGTTTAGAGTTTCACTCCGTTATCATATTTAAATAACAGTCAATTGGTTACAATATAGAACTATAACTTTAAAGCACATTGAGCACAAGTCAAGAAGTTGATGACAGAGATTTGAGAGAATTTTATTATGAGAAAACCTTAGGAAAAATTTTAAACAATCACGCTGTCATACACAGAAGCTGCCACTAATTCTGTGCTCTATAACTCCTAATAGCTTCAACATTAATATTGATTTAAGACAGAAATCATCTACAGATTCGCTCGAAATTTGTTATTGTTTTTAAAAAATAATCCATCAAATAACAAGGCTGGAAACAATAGAAAACAATCTTAAAAAAATAATAATAATAAGCACAATCTGCAAAATTAGACAAAATGATTTAAGAATTTACTGATTATTTTCAGCGATTTGTCCTACAATTACACGCAGAAATAATCATGATTAGTATAAATTAGATTCAAGTATGTAGATTGGAACAATTAATATAGCAAAACCATGTACTCTCTTAGGTAGTCTCTATAGTTAATCATTTTTCGTATGAGATAAAATTGTCCTATTGGATTAAGTGAATAATATTCAAGCCTTTTAATTAGATTGTAAGAATGTTACATTATTTACTGACAAATTAAGAAATTCATGATTCTTCAGTTCAGTTCGGTTTAGGATTAAAATTATTTATAAATCGACCGAACCTCCATCAACCATCTGGTTTATAAAATTAAAAATAGCAGTATCAAAAGCAGATCTTTCTGTAATATGGGTAGTAAGTTTGAATGAATTAAGTCAGTACAGTAAGACGATCCAATGAAAATCAAAGCAAATGCATACTGCTTACAACAGCTCAATGAAGTTGTAACTTTTCAGAAATACGGTTTTAAAAGTAATTCTACATATTAAAGTCCTATTATTGTGACCTAATATGTAGGTAAATCAATGGTAATAAAATTATACTGGAATCATTAAGCTATCTCTCGACAGTATAATTAATAAACTTTTAAAGTTCACTTTAGAAATATCTCATTGTATATGCAAGAACGTGAGATAAGTGAGCCAACATGAACAGAAATCTTCCGCTATCATTAATAAAGCAGTAATCGTTAATCATCCTAGTTTTTCCCCCTTTAAATTACTTATCTTTTAAAGTCAGTAGTAAGTAATCACGGAAAGGAGAGATACCTATACTTCCCATTGACATAACTAATTCAAGAAATATTCTTAATCAACTTGGTAGTATGCAATCTCTAGAAAGCTATTCATGAACTAACACTGAAATGCTCCTACCATCTGTTAAAAGAGTTTTCGTTTGTGAAGTATATTTTGCAGCAGATCGCTCAAGATAACAATCAAAATCAACTGGTGAGGATCAATTCAGTTGATAAGATGCTTAAGTGGTACATCTAACCACACTTTTTATAATCTATAAAGATTTCAGTTGATCTCAAAACAGGATCTTAGGCTGTCCATAGAGATCAGAAAAGTCCAGACATAAACACTAAGGAAAAACATTCTATTCTAAGGAATTCATCAAGATGTTGCAACTTTTAAAAAGTTACCAAACTTACCACTCAGTTGAGGAGTTGACAGATTATCAACTAACTGACCGTAAGCAAGCTGTCTAGCTGGTAGTTTATATGTAGACTGTAAGCGTAGAATTGCATCTACTGCACCACTGACATCATTATCACCAGGTAGCATATCTGTATGTTGTTTAACACGTGATCGAATTGTATTCATTGTGATTGTGTTTTGAGCATCAGAAATATTTAAATAGTCTGACCCATCAGTATCACCCTTCTGAAAACCGTTTGGTACATTGTTAACAAGTTGACTGATTTGTGATTTCCAACTTGATGAAAGACGCTTCATTGTAAGATAAGCATTAATCGGATTGCCTAAATATTCTTCTAGGTCATTATTCTGTTGACTTAGTGTTGACGAGGCGTCACTAATTGATCCATTAGCATCCAACACTTTGACAACTTTCCGAATACGATTAAGACGTCTCTCTTCAAGGGCAATGTAAGAATTTAGATCGGACACTAGTTCTTGACTTAACCTCCATGCTTTCGTTATATCAATAACAGCAGTGTAGTATTCGGCATTTATGTTCTTCTGTTGAAAAAGCAGTAACCAGGTGATAATGAATGAAAGCAACGCCATTCTCGTTGTTTACAGTAGTAGAAAATGACCCGTTAATAAAAATATTGTGTTAATCAATCAGGGAAACTGAATATGAATTTTTATGATCGACAGACAAACAGGCAGTTCATTTATAATAAGCAGGAAAGTAAGTAAATAAACTAAACATCTAATTCCACCAATAATGTTACTTAGTTCATTTAGTGTGCCTTTCAATGTGCCCTTTACATGAATTTATACGAAATGGAAAGACAATTGATTATTTCCAAGCCTTTTTTATAGTCGTTAAATGAAAGAACTGTCATTGGATAATGACGGAACGCACACTGGTGAAAAGGGAGAATTGAATAATCCCAACAAAATTGATTAGAAACTATAGTAAACTGACGACCAATATAAGAAGGAAAACTGTTATCTAAATACTGTTTGGAGTGTTGATACGGTACCCCTTTTGCTGATAAGTTCCTCTGTTCCATGCCTGAAACATACGATTAAACCATTTCAAAGAAATCTAATGATCAGCATTTACATGAACTCAGTTTGCCTTTGTTATTCTTATCACAGCTAGTATACCTGTCATCATATTATCAATTTGTACGTTTTACTTATTAAGTTTATTTATGTAATTTATTCCACTGTTATCACTGACTGAGACAAGCCCTAACTTTGAATTTTGAAGGGAAAAGGAAAAGAGGAAGGCCGATGAATACACCACATTGGGAATTAGAAGAACACATGAAAAGGAATAATAGCAACTGGAAAGGATTGCCCAGGACAGAGTTGAATGGAGACTGCTGGTGGGTGGCCCATGCTCCTCCACGAGGGCTAACAGCGTAATTAAGTCATCGCTGACTAATAAACTACTGTATATTAGAGTAAAGCCTAATGATCTAATCGAAAAAAATATTGATCACTTATATATGTTGTTCTAAATCACAATATTGGAATTTTTCAAAACTTTCTGCAAAGCAGCATGGCTTTAGAACAGGTTATTCCTATCTCACTAACTTATTAGTAGCCGGTGAAATTCGGTGCGCTCTTAAGGATCAAAAGTTACCTATAAATGTAGTCTATATTAAATTCAGCAAAGTTTTTGATACAGTTCCTCACATAGGGCTGCTATATAAGTTAAGCAATTTATTAATGTGGATAAAAGACTTCCTATTTGGGCGCCAACAAAGAGTACGGGTGAACTCAAAGTTATCTAGCTGGGAAACTGCTTAGAAGAGTGCTTCAGGGTACAATTTGAGTGCCAATGTTGTTCCTCTTGTGTGTAAATGACCTTCCTAGTCTCCTATCATCATCGGTTTTTTATATGCTGACGATGTCAAGATATGGTGAGCGATACGAAGTAAGGGTGATAGCTTAGAACTCCAAAATGACCTGGAGAAATTATCTGAATGGTCGAAAACTTGGCAGTTGCCAATAAATGCTCCCAAGTGCATTATAATGCATATTAGTCATCAAGGTACAGATACATACACGGTGAATAACATTGAACTACCTGTTGTCCAGACACAATGTCATCGTTAGCCAAGACTTAAAAACTACTGCATACTACCGTGCGGTAACCGCCAAAGGTTTTAGAACCCTATAGTCAATACGTATAGCCTTTAGCCATTTCGATGCTAAAATCTTTTCGACTTTATATACAGTATTCGTTCGTCCTAATCTCCAGTATTGCATACAATCGTCTAGCCCCTTCTTAAAAAATATAGTGAGCTTTTGGAAAACGTTCAGAGAGCAGCAACTAAGCTGATTCCCGGAATAACGAAGCTCCTGTATGATGCTCGACTGGCTAAGCTAAACCTATTCCCATTGTCATATCGAAGAACTAGAGGTGACTTGATCACATATTTAAATTAATTATTGATGAATTTACATCTGACGTGCCCTCAATTTTCTTGTCCGCCAAAACAGAGAATTTACGAGGACACTCAGAAAACGTTCACAGGTCCAGAGAAAATTACTTGTCAGATGACTATCGACTTTCGCATCGAGTCATCAACGAAAGAAATCCATCAACTGAATACATGATTGAAGATCTATCTACCAAAGCTTTGAAAAGAAAGTTGTAACAACTGAGAGACCGCCATTACCAGGGCTAACAGGACCACCCAGCCTCCTGTCGTTTCCAAAGTGAAATTGTCTGTAAAAATACTGCGTCACGCTTCATAACATCTACAGTGTCTAGAAAAAATAAACGCAACAAATATACTGATTAAAGATTTAATGTATTGCTGATTATTTTGTTCGTAGGCCAGAAATACAATCTTTGTAGATAAAGCTCTTAACAAATTTAAATAATTTGGAATAGTTTATGTACTTAGTGCTTATATTTTCTAACTGTATATTATATAGATGAAAGTATATGTGTATATTTGTGAATACATTTAAGAAATCTAACCTTTAAAAATGATTTTGGTTACATTCATGTACAGATTGCTGATTAATAATAACAGAATTTATTCTCAAGTTGAGTTTCAGTCAATCATCTACGGTTTCTGTTCGGTGTATTATTTCTGATGAATCGGTTTGAAAACGCGATGTGATTTCATCAGTTTAAGTTGAACATTTTATCAAATTATTTCCTATACATTTAGTTGGTAGGACATTTGATCTATCTCCTAGATTATCACTCTGCAGAAATAAGTGGTTTTTTCGTTAATTTTGCTAGTAGTCAAGCTGTTTACAAGTACTATGACTACACATAAACATTTGAACACTTGTTTTTAAGTAGTTTGTTAATGGCTAACACTGGAATCCAGGAAGCACGACGCGTTATTAACTGAGTTTCTGAAGCTTGGATCGAAAGGTACTATTTTCGAGTTCCTGTGTGAGCATTAACACTGGAATGAAAGTATAGCCAGCTGACATGTTTCAAATGAAACGAAAGATACATTCTAGTGTGGCACCTTCTCTGTTATTAGATCCCTACATAAATTATCCTAACTTTTGAACAGACAAATTATCCTAATCTTGAGAGATGAACTCCGTCTGTAGCTCTTCCAGAGTTACTGCCGGTCCCAAACCCTAGTAAAAGAGGAGGATTAGGCATGGGGTTAGCGTCCCCATCCCGTAGAAAACTAACTCGCTAAAAAACACAAACCATTTAAACTCTGCCCTGGGAGTTAGAAGAACTATGATGCGTCGTGGTGGAAGCCGAATTCCTTCGGAAGTCACGAGGCCGATGCCCCTTCTAACAACCAGATCAACAATTTTTATAGGTACATGGAACGTCCGAACAATGTGGGAGACCGAGAAGACCAGTCAAATAGCAATGGAAATGAGGAGATACAACTTGGCAGTACTCAAGCTGGACAACAAAGGCTAAATACAGGAGAGATGCTGCTATAATCCGGTCATGAAGAGGAAAATGCTCCGCACACTCAGGGAGTTGCTCTAATGCTGTCAAAAGTAGCACGAAATGCACTTGTAGGATGGGAATCTCACGGATCCAGAATCATCAAAGCATCATTCAAAACAAAGGAGGTGATAACAATGAATATTATTCAATGTTATGCACCCACCAAAGATAGCAACGATGACATTAAAGATCAATTCTACGAGCGGCTGCAGTCAATCATAGAGAAGTGCCCAAGAAAGGACCTCACCATTCTGATAGGAGATCTAAATGCCAAAGTCGGAATAGACAACACTGGATATGAAGATATCAAGGAACGACATGGACTGGGTGAGAGAAACGAAAATGGAGAAAGATTCGAAAATCTATGTGCATTCAACAAATTGGTCATAGGTAGCACAATATTTCCACACAAACGTATACACAAAGCTATATGGATCTCACCGGATCATGCCAAGGCGAACCAGATCGATCACATTTGGATCACTAAAACATTCAGAAGGACAATGGAAGACGTGAAAACGAGGAAAGGAGACGACATGGCTTCGGATCACGAGCTGGTGGTTTGCAAGATGAAACTGAAGCTGAATAAGCACTGAACGACTGGACAAACAGCATTACAAAGGTTCAGTACAGCCTTCCTTCGAGATACTGACAAACTCAATGAATTCAAGATAGCTCTCAACAACAGGTTCCAAGCCTTACAGGATCTACTGAAGGAAGAATAAACTACTATGGAGGACAACTGGAAAGGTATTAAAGAAGCATTAACTTCAACGTGTCAAGAGGTTCTGGGCGGCAAGAAGCATCATCATAAGGAGTGGATCTCTATAGAAACACTGGGCAAGATCAAAGAAAGGAAGAACAAGAAGATAGCAATTAACAACAGCCGATCACGAGCAGAGAAGGTCAAAGCACAAGCTGAGTACACAGAAGCAAACAAGCAAGTGAAGAGGGCATTAGAGCCGACAAGCAGAAATACGTGGGAGAACTAGCAAGGACGGCGGAAAAAGCTGCTAGAGAAGGAAATATGAAACAGCTTTACGATACAACGAAGAAACTAGCAGGGAAATATAATAAATCAGAGAGACCGGTCAAAGACAAAGAAGGCAAGCCAATCACTGAAATTCAACAACAGCGGAACAGATGGGTAGAATACTTCGAGGAACTCCTGAATAGGCCGGCTCCAATGAATCCACCGGACATCGAAACAGCACACAAAGACCTTCCTATAGTTGTTACTCCACAAACAATCTAAGAAATCAGGTCGGCCACCAGACAAATCAAGAGAGGGAAAGCAGCAGGACCTGACAACATACCAGCTGAAGCACTGAAGTCAGACATCGAAGTAGCTACAAAAATGCTTCACCTTCTATTCACAAAGATTTGGGAGGAGGAACAAGTGCCGATGGACTGGAAAGAAGGACACCTCATCAAGATTCCAAAGAAAGGAGATCTGGGCAAATGTGAAAACTACAGAGGCATCACACTACTATCGGTTCCAGGAAACATTTTCAACAGAGTGTTGCTGAACCACATGAAAAATTCGGTAGACGCTAAGCTTTGAGATCAAAAGATTGGATTCGTAAGGATCGGTCGTTCACAGACGAAATCGCGACACTACGGATCATTGTTGGGCAGTCAATTGAATGGAACTTGTCACTATACATCAACATGACTGACTGTGACAAAGCATTTGAAAGCGTGGATAGGAGAACATTATGGAACCTTGTTCGACACTAGGGTGTTTTTGAGAAGATCGTCAACATCATTCGGATTTCATACGACGGACTATACTCCAAAGTCGTGCATGGAGGACAGCTGACAGTTGAATTCCAAGTGAGTATGGGAGTTA